CCAGGTGACAGGGCTCCCAGCCACAGGGATGCACTATGCCCAGTGTGAAACCCCCCAGGTCTGCTGGATCATGGCAACCACAATCCCCCAGGCTCAGGGGTGCATGAAACCCCAAACCCAAGGGAACACAGCACCTGCAATCCCCCAGACTTGGGGGTGCATGAAACCCCTGGTGATCTCTCAGCCCCAGGGATGTGTGGAGCAGCCCCACAGCTAGGATCCCCTCAAGTGAGAGGTCTCACAGCTGCAGGAGCTTGCTTCTTGCCAGTGCAGGGGGAGGCCTTGTGTGAATCACACATTATATCCCATCATGCCTTTATCTGCACACCTGGAGGGGGTTTACATGAAGATAGATGTTTTGTTTCCACCAGTAAATATTATTTTGTATTTCTGCTTCTGAGAATATTTTTCTACCAGTATGCCATGCAGCAAATATGAAAAGAATATAAATTTCCCAATATGATTAAAGTTTTGGGGGGAAAAGATTCAGAATAAGGGGCTCAAGATTGGTGGTGGGGCAAGAATACTTTTAATAAAGATGTAGGCTGCAGACACCACAATCACAAGTGTAGAGTGTGGACCTAACAAGCCCATATTATGGATAATATGCAGTTTAACTTACATAGATTGAAATGTTCAATATATACATGAATAAGCAGTAGCATGGGAAAGCAGATTAACGTCTATTAGTCAAGGCCACCAGTAACTGTCTAGGCCAGATGTGGATAACTGGCATTTTTTAAAAGCACTTGCAGTAGTTAAAGTAACAACCCATCTTCCTATTTTATCTTCTGATTAAAAGAACTGATTATGTGCAGCTAATTAGAATCTTATGAAACAACAATATAATCACTTGTTGCCAGTCATGGCCATTTTCAATAAGTCTCGACCCAGAAGTGCAGCTAAAGCAGGAGACCCCAAAAGCCTCTATCTGAGTGATCACAGAGTTACCCTCAGACATATCACCTAAGCTGGTAAGCAAAGGAAAGAAAGTAGTTAACAAGTCCAACGAAACCAGAACAAACAAACAAAGCACAAGGCCTGATACAGGACATTATACAAGAGGACCTTAAATTAGGTCATCCAAATAAACACAGCTTTAACTTAAATACGTTAGTAGTAGTGATTAATGTAACCATACGTGCTGGATACTGCTTGGTTATAACAGATAGGTATTTCTTGGATGAGCTGTGAAACAAAGCAGCCTTATCAGTGAAGATCATAAACTAAGGTTAAAAGACAAGATGGTGGCAAGCAACATTCCATGACAGTAAAGAAAACAGATAAGAAATTATCCCTTCTGGAATCATAATTTTAACAGGCACATAAATCCCACCTAGTTGACACCTTCCCAGTTCCTAGAAGAACTGGTTCAGTTCAGTCACAAAAGTTTCAGTAAAGCAAACACAACAGAATAAAATCAAACAAGGAACATTTATATTAGAACAAGCCATCTAAGTGTAAGGTACAGACTGGAGGGAAAATTGGAGAGCTCCAAAAATTCAATAAGACCTGCTGCCAGCCTGCACGATACCATCTTCCTGAGTCCTTCCAGCTGGTGTAGGTGAAAATTTGTATATTGATGTGGGTAGCTAGAAAGGCATTGGAATAGTTGTATGTTTTTGTGCTTTGGGGCGAGACAATTAAAGTCAGGCTATTGATTTGTCTCTTGCCTCTTTTTTAACCTGGATAATAGTAATTAAGAGAATTGTAGCTGTACCTTAATTGTGTATCTAAACTTGCAGAAGAGGGTCTCATCATAGGTCTGCAAAGGGAAGTTAGTGTACTTAAACCTACGGCTCCAATTTACATTCTTAGGCACAATAGCTCTCTTAATGATCATGTTGGGAGTTAGTGAAGAATCACTAATAAATGGCAAATTCTCAAGTTTAACATGCACTAACTTCCTTGAATAAACAAGTTTCTCTTGCATACAGATTCATTTAAAAATAATCACTTGTGTAAACCTACTTCGTAAAAGCAGAAAAAAAAAAAAAAAAAAAAATCACACAAATGACTTGGAGACCCACTGCAAATAAGCAAGTAAACAAACTGGGCTAAATCATCATAAAATGATTGTTAATTTGAATTTTTGTTTAACTTCACTTTTCACTGCTTTTAGTACAGTTACACCATCTAGTTTCACTAGTGCACTTTATATGACTATAGAGTATAACCATTTTATATTTTATAAACAAGAAGTTTTGAACAAGAAAACCTCCTGATAGCATTTTAAACTTTTAATGGAAATGCAAGAGAGACCAGCAACTACAATCAGTATTTATGTGAATTTCAAAACTGTACAGGGTAGTAAGACTCCTTTGCATTTTTCATTTATGTCTTGGAAATCCCTCCATCATTGGCTAACAGAATATAGAAAGAAATCAAATTAATTGTAAAGAAACTCACCGTCTAACAACAGCAACAGGCAAACTAAAGGTCAGTTGGCTAGAATAGTCACTGGATATACTGGCCCTGGAAGAAAAATATATTTATATTTATTAGGACTTGATTTTAGCTGTGGATTTTTTACTAAGTCTCTACTGTACTTTATTATCCAGAATTAATAGTCATTTCTTGCTGCCTATGGATTGATTCATCAGTATATTGATGAATAAATGTTTATATAAAATTAACATTAGTAGTAACATTTTGCAGATCATACATCTTATTAGCATATAGAATATATGTTGTATGTGTGTGCTGTATAAAATTAAAATGATATATAAAGCATTATGCTCAGTTTAAACGGCTTTACTATGAGGAAGGACAAAAGTAGCAACTCTTTCCAATAAGTTTTAAATATATAAACTGTAAGAGAATACTAACTTTTCTCCCAGTTAGTTTTAAACACTGAAAGACTTAAAGCTTTTATTTTGTAATAGCATAAGTTTTTTTAGACAGGACAACTACTACAATGTGTCAGTATGTCCATATTTTCTTTCAGTATTAAGAAACAGAAAATGAAGCATTTCAACCAGTTTTGAAGTGTTCCAAAAGTAGCCCAAGTGCTCCAATACACCTCTTGAAATGAAGCTATTTTGAAGCATTTTGCTTCTTATTATGTCTACATGGGAACAGGGATCTCATAGGTCCTTAATAATCCAAGAGTTCTCCACTCTCCCCTGCCTCCATACTCCACAGGGAAGAAAGGAAGAGCAGTATGAATCATCTGAGGCTGCTGGCAGATGTTAAGGCAGTTGCATGATTGGGGTTGGAGGAATTTTATGCCCCATTCCCCGAACTGCATGACCTGCCATGCCATATATGCATGGCAGGTCACACAAATCTGGGAATTAACCTCAGCTGCATGGGAAATTAACCTCAGGCATCCCACAGGGATAAAGCAGAGGGAAGTCAAGTTTGGGATCCAAAGCTGCTCCTAGCCCGCTCACCTGAGTGTTGGAATTCAGCATCGGCCAGCCCTGGTCCTGGTTCAGACCCAGGTTATCTTCTGTTTGATTCTCAAGATCAGGCAGAGAGGGGCTGTATGCCAGATCCCAGAGCTGCCCCAAGCCTTGAAGCTTGCTAAGGTCCAACACCTTAAAAAGCTTTAAAGATTGTGCGCTACAAGGCAATGCTCCTTAAGTTGCTGGGTTCTGGCAAGCTCACAACCTGATGATGACAATCAGCTGTCAGCATTGGAACCAGGGCAGCACCCAGACAAATTTCAGACCCTGGGCTGCCCAGGTCCTAGTGGTGACAATCAGCTGACTGTCAACATTAGGATGATGGGGCATGTCACATGTTCAATTTATGGAGCCATACAAAGCAGCCACTAAGTCGTTATGCCTTCTAAAAATATCTGTGTGGCTGGTTTGCCATTTTATAATGCCATAAATTGTAGGAACGTATGGACAGTTGTGATTTATAGCATGATTAATACATTAATTGCACCAAAAATATAACATGTGGCAGGGGCTTGACAGACAGCCTTACAGACTGCTCAGCTGGATCCCAGCTGCTCTAGCACTCAGAGTGCTCCAGGCTCCAGTCAGTCCACAGGTCTGGAGCCACTAGTCACTACAGCCATCTACAGTGCCCCCTGGTTGGAGATGGCAGAGTTGCCAGCAGCTGCAAGGATTTTAAAATGCTCCAGCCAGGGATAGAACAGAACCTGTATGTGTCTGGCAGCTGAAATGCTATATTTCTTAAACATTTCAGAGTCCTTTACACTTGGAAGCATTTCAAATGCTACATCTGTCTGCACCCAGACCTTCCTACTGAGGTTTGCCTTTACGAAAAGGGTATGTTCAACTGAGGTTTGCCTTTACGAAAAGGGTATGTTATCACACAACAAGAACTTTTGCAATAATACTGATAAAACTGTAGATGATTACTGACTTCTAATCAAGTATTTACATTGTAGTAGCAGCTATGGAGGCCTCAGTAATATAAGGACACCAGTGTACTAGACACTGTACAAACATGATCAAAGAGTTTATCAAGCCATTAAATTGGTTATATTTCCATTAGAAATTACTTCATGGATGATCATGACTTTGGATGATCTAGGTGGTGATGATCCTGCTTTGAGCAGGGGGTTGGACTAGATGACCTGAGGTCCGTTCCAACCATAATTTTCTATGATTTTATGATCATAGAATGTGATGTCAAGGTAGATAATATAAAAACTTTTCATTTATTTAACAGCTAAGTCAATACAGTTGACACTACGTGGGCAAAAATGTCTAATTTCAGAAGCATAATGTCAGTCTTTAAAACTTAATCTGAAATAAACTGACATCAAGAAAGAAATACCATAATATATTATTGGGCTTTAGATCTGGCCTTACATCACTGGATATTTATCCAATGTCAAAAAAAATACAAATTTGGGAAATGCATAAATTGTAACTAAAAGGATTTGCTTTTGCATTTACTGCTGTCAAAAAAAATCCTAATTCTGGTAAGAAGGTATTTTCAGGTATAGAATTTAAAAAAAAAAAGAAAACCCTATACGTTACCATGTTTCTTTTCTTGATACTTCATCAAACAACAGAAGAAAAAGCAATACTGCAGTTTCAGTCAGGACAGCGCAATTATCTTGGAATATCAAGGATACTGAATAAAACAAAGTATATTTAAAATGTACTCTAAGAAGGCACTAGCATTTGATAATATATAAAATTCTGCATCATTGACTTCAGTAGCGATTTTGCCATCAACTTCAAGGGGAAAAAAAAAAAAAAAAAAATCACACCTTAAAAGAACAAATGAACTAACTGTTTAAAATGCAATGCCATCTGAAGTAACTATATCAGGAGTTCCCAACCTTTTTAGGCTGAGGACCGGCAAGCCGCGGACCGGAAGTGGCCAGCATACTGTGGGCAGGTAGCAAACCCTTTTTTATACTTAGTATTTATACTCAGTATAAAAAAGGGTTGGCTGCTGGTCCACAGTATGCCAGTCACCTCCAGTCTGCGGTTTGCTGGTCTGCGGTCACTTCCGGTCTGGCAGTCAGCCCTCCTGAGGGCTGGCAGTCAACCCTTTGTGGCCCAGCACCACGCCACAGCTTGGGGGCTGTGTCACCAAACCACCAACCCCACATCCTTAAACATTTTTTCCTAGTAAAAATCTAATCATATTTTAAACATAAAGACATATTATCAATAGAAGTTTTTCTAAGTCACCTCTGAATAGCATGAGCAGGACAGCAGGCTGCTGTGTTAATGACAGACGTGTCACTGGATCAGCATATACAAGCTTTCGTAAAAGTATAAGACATGGTAAGACTATACATTCCATGACCTGCAGGGGGAAAAGCAATATTAATCTAGATTTCTCTCTATCCAGTTCCTTAGGACTAGGAGAAAACTGCCATCCTACAAAAAATGTATACGGTTTATAAGTCAATAGTAGAGAGACCTATAAAACTGTCAAATCAGACAGACCTATAAAATTGTTAGCCATCACACTGGCCTCAGAAAAGAGCAGGGTATCATATGGAATTTCTTCTACTATTTAACAGGCTCTTGCTGGAACCAGCCTCTTGAAGCCCATAGTCCTCTTTGAATGTTTGTTTCAAAGAGGCCAATTTTTTTAGACCCATGACTGTAAACAGAAAGAATGACAATAAGTCCATTAAAGATACATATTTATGTTAATAGAGCTCTATCTTGTCAAACTATATGAACTAAAGACATATGGCCTTATGTAGCCCTTTTCATTTGTTGATGCAAAATGTTATACAATACTGGTTGACTTATGGGGAAACTTTAGAGCAGGTAAAGGAAATTATTTGCTCATGGTGAACAGAACAGTTGAACAGCCAGAATAGAACCAAAGTTCTTTCAATATGTAAGAACACCACATATCCACAGTTTGTTCAGGGAATACAAAGGAACCAAGTTGGTATCTTTTTTGCAGATCAAGAAATACACTATTCTATTACTTTGTTTGCCTGAAGTTCAATATTTAAGGATATGCTTTGTGAACTCTATTATCACTGAAAGATAAAAATTCCATTTGATATTTAATAGATCAAAATACTGCTTATGTGCAATAGAAAGAAACACTTGCAGCACTGTATCTAGCTGCTCCCAAAGCTTTCTTAAGAACTGTGCTCTTCCCCAAAAACCCCTTCTATTCACAAGCACCCTTTCCTAACAGATTCTTACATTTTTTTCTTTTAAGAAGTTTTAATACATTTTTATATTTCAACACACATTCCCACAAACTATTGTAAATTAAGTTCTTTTAATGCACTATATTATTAATGGTAAAAATCCAAGAGCTTAAAAATGCCCCTGAAATGTCAACTGGAATCTTGCCAATTTTGCTCAGGGTTGAGATACTTTGATGGGGAACTTTCTAATCATACATACTCTACAAATAAAAAATGCCGTTCTCCAGAGCTGCCTAATTACTTTCTTTTTTTCTTGTTACGGTGACTGATGTAACATAGCAAAATGCTAAATGTTCCAGTCATATACCTCTTCAAAGTCTTCACTTGGTAAGTAAATTTAGACTTTTTGTATTGTATAAGCATTTTTTAGTATTATAAAGATAAGGACTTCCTATGACAGGAAATCCATCTGCCTCCCCACCTCAAACTCTCAATCACCTTCAGGGTATATAGCCAAAAAAAGAAGACAATCAACCAAACAGAAGCACAAATGGTAATGACAAGCTCCCACAGATCTCACAAACAGTAAAGCTTTTAAAAGTGCTTGTGTGACTCCTACCTAGGCATCAAAACAGCAACCCAAAAGGCCTCTGCTCAAACTCCCCCCACCCCACTCCAAATGTAGTAGGCACTTCTTTGACTTGAAAGTTCCATAGGCATTCGCAACTCTGTTTCTGTGAATGGACAGAAACGCTCTGACCGGACCAGCCAGATGCATAGTTCTCACTTACACCCTGCTGCAATGCAGAAGTTAAGTGAAGTCAGGTTTAAGAACTCAGAGGCACACCCAGAGCACTTCTAGATACCAACAGAATGAGGCCCTCACAAATGCAATTAGAGCTACTGTAGGGAGTGGCATCCTATTGATTACAGCAGGCCTCTCCTAATTATTTTGGCTACATGGGCTAAATCTGAACTGCGGGGATTCTCGTGGCCCAGATAACCCACCTCTGGTGGCAGGCCAGTGGCTTGTTGGTATTTTCTGCAACAGTGGAATACCATATTTGCTTGCATACCACATTTGCCTTCCCTCAAAAAGAACAGGCTTTCAAAATCAAGGTGTCTTAAGTGGGGTAGCTAATTTTCTACCCAGAATAAAAACATGGAGATGTAAGATGGCTGCTACAACTTTCCCTTCTCTTCTCTCTAGCAGCTGCATGGAGGGAGAGTCCAGCAAGGGCAGATCCAGAGCAAGTATGGTACAGATGCATTCCCTCCTTTGATTCCTGCTCTATCCAAGGTTTAAAGGCCTTGATCCTTGCTCGAACTCCTGCCTGCCCTAAACCTGTTCCTTGCTCCTGCCTAGTTCCTACCTGTGCCTTACCTAGCCTGAACCAATACTCCTGCTTGGATCCTTGCCCTGCACCTGCCTGCCTCTTCTTCTAGTGCCTAATTGTTCCTGCCCTCCCTGTCCCAGAGTGTTCCTGTCCCCAGCCTTGACAAGTAATAGCCTACCTCAACCCTGATTTCTTTGCAACCCCCAGCTTGAGACTTCAGACTTGACCCAGCTTGACCTCTATGTCCTCTATGGTAGCCCCTGCTCTAACACATGCTCTTTGGATCAATCATCTACATCCTGGTCTACCCCCACAATCATGAATACAAAAAAGGGTGTAGCACATAGGTTTCAGTATTATTCAGTTTTTTACATCAGGTAGATTCAGTTTCAAGGCAGACTATCTGAAAGGCAACAGGCCTTGTAATATTTAGGACACTATCTTGTTTATATCCATATTGTCTGCAATCAAACTTGAGTCACGTTCTTTCCAATAAATGCCTGCTGGTTACTAACTGCAACCTATTTCAGAACTGGACTTTAGAGGCAGAATTTAACCTCTAACAGTATAATGCGTATCAATTTAAATCTTTTCAAATTACTTTTCAGTCCTCAATCAGGGAGAGATCAGAAGTTCTGCCCATCAAAATTAAGATAAATCTTATGCATCGTTAGTGTGGTTCTGAGCTAAATTACAGTGTAAAAGACTGTTTTCATATTCTGTAACTTAACAAGAAACTTCACATACAGCATGACTATTCTTAGATGCCTGTATTCTGAATAGGTACAATGCTCTAAAGTGCATTAGGCTTAAGAGAATAGAAAGATAAGGTTCTTTTGCTTTTGTTGAACACTTACAGGCACAGACAAACTTTTACCTTGCCATCCCGGTGTACACATTCAGTCAGGTAAGCATGTATCTTATCTATCACACCCCATTTTTTCATGATGTCATGCAACTTAGTATCTGGAAGAAAAAGGGGGAGGCGGGGTGGAGAGATTCAGGACAGTTCTGCAACAGCTTTATATTTTGCTTTTGGTGTTGGGCCACAAGTTATTTTAATGCTGTGGAGCAGTGTTATATTTATGAGCTTGTATTCTACAACCTCTTCCACACAAGCACAGCTCAGGCAATAACAATGTAAGCTTCTCTATAACCTCTTGGATCTCTGCACACTATGGAAAAATATAGACATCTATTCAATATCTAACCTCATTATGGAGACTGAAAATGTGCAAACTGTGATGGCCTGAGGAAAGAGAAATCATAAACTCAGTTCATACATCACCCTACAACCATGATATGAGGTCTATTATTTATCACTATTCATGTGAAAATTGCTGAATCTTACTTCAAATCTTCTAAATATACCTGCCCCTTCAATTATTGTATGAAATGGTCTGGATATTGGCTTAATCACAGGCAATTTAAATGGTTCATAACTATAGCTCTTGGCATTACAACACAAACCAAATGTAACAAAGGTGGATGAAATCCTTGCTCCATTAAGTAAAGGACAAAAGTGTTATGAGCTGCAATGGATTTAGGCTTTGACCCCTGTTATTTATCATAATTATCATATGCAAAACTAGCAGAAATGTGACAAATGAAAAAATGTAAAGAAAGGATTTCTTGATTTTTTTTTAAATGTGAATGATTCTTGTCTTGTGAGCTTTCACAGCAGCTGAGGTCTCCCAGCACAGAGGCGGTGTGGAGCACCCCTGTGGCTGGAAGCCATGTCTGCTGATGGGGCTCCCAGCTGGGAGGGGGCGGGCAAGTGCTCCTGCAGCTGAGAGCCACCGTCAGCTGGCGCACAGGCCACATATGCAAATTAAAGCTAGATAGAAACCAGCTATAAAGTTGTTATGCATTTTCCAGCAATAATGTTATAGCTAGTTGGACCTTTTCCATAGTTTCATAGTTGGTAGGGTTGGAAGGGACCTGAGCAGATCATCAAGTCCGAACCCCTGCCATGGCAGGAAAGAGTACTGGGGTCAAATGACCCCAGCAAGGTGTTCATCTAGCCTCCTCTTAAAGACCCCCAGGGTAGGAGCCAGCACCACTTCTCTTGGAAGTTGGTTCCAGATCCTAGCCAACCTGACAGTGAAGTAGCCCCTCCTAATATCTAGCCTAAATCTACCCTCTGCCAGCTTGTGACCATTATTTCTAGTCACTCCTAGTAGTGCTCAAGGGAACAGGGAGTCCCCCAATCCCTGCTGGTCCCCTCTGACTAGTTTGTGAATGGCCACTAGATCCCTCCTCAGCCTTCTCTCATGGAGGCTGAACAGGTTCAGGTCCTCATAGGGCCTGCCCTGCTGCCCCCTGATCATGTGGGTGGCCCTCCTCTGAACCGTCTCCATGCTGTCCACATCCCTCCTGAAGTGTGGCGCCCAGAACTGGATGCAGCACTCCAACTGCGGCATGACCAGTGCTGCACAGAGGGGGCAGATCACCTCCTTGGACCTGCTTGAGATGCATCTGTGAATGCATGACAAGGTACGGTTGGCCTTCCTGACCACATCCCCACACTGTTGGCCCATGTTCATTTTGGCATCAATAATGACTCCACAATCCTTTTCTGCCTCTGCACCGACGAGAAAGGAGTTTCCCAGCCTGTAGGTATGCTGCTGGTTTTTCCTCCCCAGGTGCAGTACCATAGTTTTAAGGTGCTATAGTTCATTTGCACATGTAGCCAGTCTAAATTAATTGCACAATTAACCAGATAATTGTGTAATACATGTAAAATGTAAAGCAGGGGTGGGCAAAATATGGCCCACAGACCGCAACCGGCCCACAAGGCCATTCTATCCGGCCCACAGGGCCCCTAAAAAAATTTAGAAAATTAGTATTTCTCTGCTCTTGGTTCCTGTCAAAAATGACAAGAAACAGGGGCAGTAGGACCCAAGGGAAGCCCAGCAGGCTCCCATAATGGCAGGGCCCATCTGACCTCGCCCCCCCAGCTGACAGCCCCAGCAGAGGCTTCTGGCCTAGGACCACATGGCTGCCCCGTGCCGGAACCACAGGTAAGTGGGGGGATAGAGAGAGCAGGGGAGGAGCCTGGGGAAATGTGACCCAGGGAAAAACTGAGCACGGGGTCAGGGGAAGCAGCCCTTCGCCCAGCCTGTGGCCAGTGCCCCATGCTGCAGCTGCTTGCAGCCCATGTGGGGCTGCCCGTGCCTGCTTCAGACAGCCCTACATGGGCTGCGAGTGGCTGCAGCAGGGAGCGCCGGCCACAGGGCAGGAGAGGGGCTGCTTTCCACCCCCCTCCATGCGCAACTTTTCCCCCGGCTCCTTCCCAGTGCAGAGAAAAGCATCCCTTCCCCGCCCCATGGCCAGTGCTCCCTGCTGCAGCTGCTTGCAGCCTGTGCAGGACTGTCCAGAGCAGGCACAGGCAGCCCCATGCAGGCTGCAAGTGGCTGCAGTTTCGGGTGCTGCCCAGTGTGTGAGCGAGCTCTGGGTGGACAGCAGCAGCCAACACTGCCCGTCGAGGCAAGTGGAGGGGCTGCATTGCTGCTGTCACCATTCGCAGCCATGACAGGTGAGCTCAGAGCCAGTGTGGGGCCCTGGCTGTCAGTGGGGGCGGGTTAGAAGCTGGTACTGAGCGCAGGGGGGGAAAAGCGGCCCCTCAGCCACCCCGTGGCCAGCGCCCAAAGCTGCAGCCACTTGCAGCCCGCATGGGCCAGGTTACAGCAGGGCCAGGGCTCAGCTGGTGCTGAGTGCGGGGAAAAGTGGCCTCTCACCCACCCTGTGGCCATTGCCCTGTGCTGCAGCTGCTTGCAGCCCATGTGGGGCTGCCTGAGCCTGCTCCAGATAGCCCTGCATGGGCTGTGAGCGCCTGCAGCAGGGAGCGCCAGCCATGGGGTGGGTGAGGGGCCACTTTTCCCTGCGCTTAGCACCAGCTTCTTCCCTGCTGGTGAGAAGGGTGTCGGGGCTGTGCGCTGTCCCCCGCCTGTACTGTGGGGCACTGGGAGTGAGTAGGCGGGGAGCCAGCAGGAGCACAGGGCCTGCACTGGTGTCCTGGGGCCAGCACCAGTGGGGCCCAGAGCAGGGTGGCAGGAGTACAGGGGTCCCAGCCAGCAGGCGCTCTATGAAGCTGGGCCAGCTCCCCCCTCTCCCTATGGTGCAGCCCAGCCCAGCTCCACAGACCCCTGCCAGCCTGTGCCCCACTTCGGGCCCCACCAATGCTGGCCCTGGGACATTGGTCCCAAGATGGTGACCAGGGGACAGGGCACCTGTCAAGGGGTGGGGCTACCCATGCAGCCCTCAACAGCCTGCCAAAACTGGGTAAGCAGCCCTCTGCCCGAAATAATTGCCCACCCTGATGTAAAGGGAGCTTAACAATGGTAGCCTTCCCCAGTACTCCAGTGGTAATGGTGCTACCCTAGATGGCAAAGGTTGTGGGTTCACGCCCCAGCCTCGCAAGAGCCCTCTAGCTCCTCAGTGAGTTCCTGGTGGCTCTGACTAGGTGCTCACAAGAAGTCTATACTGGGTTGCATGGAGGTCAGTGGGGGAAGGTTAGGTTGGAGGCCAGGGAGAGAAGGTGAACCCCAGGTTGAACAGCAAGGGTTTTTTTCTGGTTTGTGGTTTTGTTTTGTTTTGTTTTGTTTTTACAAACTCACCAGGGGGGACCAGCAGAAATTGGGTGAGGCTCTGTTTCCCTAGGCACCACCGGATGTTACTAGGAATAACGACCACAAATTGTTAGAGAGAAGGTTCAAGCTGATCATCAGGAGACATTATTTTACAGTTAGGGCTGCCAGGATCTGGAATGGACTCCCAAGGGAGGTGGTGCTCTCTCCTACCTAGGGGTTCTTCAAGAGGAGGCTGGACAGATATTTGGCTGGGATGTTATGACCCCAGCACTCATTCCTGCCTGGGGCAGGGGGTCAGACCTGATGATTTGTTTAGGTCCCTTCTGACCCTAAGCACTACGAAACTATGAAACTAACTATAATGCTAACACTGAGTGGCACTCTGCAGCACCCCAGAAAGGATTTCAAGACATCCTAGGGTGTCATTACACCCTGGTTGAGAATCATTAATCTAGAATGATATATTATAGATCCTTTAGCCTTGGAAGAAAGGAAAACAAATTCAAGAAAATAAAAGGTGGTTCTCCCTAAGTGAATCTCCTTTTGTATTCATGCTTCCTATGACAGGTTTTGATGGTAAGGATTTGTTGTCGTCATTGTTGCCGCTGCCTGCAACAGGTCCTGTGCTGGGCCAGCATATCAGTTGAGAACTAACATACGAAAGACCCAGCCTGGCAACTTCATACTACTACTCAGTTGAAAAAAGTTCTACTTGTTTTCCTCAGCTTTTTAAAGGCACTATTAGATTCTTATTTTTAGACTGATGAATACTTCTGAAAAGCTTCAAACTAAGCCTTTCAGCAATTTTGGAAACTTAGCAAGAGCATCAGGACTACATGAGTTTGTGCTGCTCAAAGTGAAACCACAAGACTAAGCAACTTTAAGACTGGCCTTGTGTGCTTAGAGAGTGTGCTGGTCTACAAAACAGATTGGCCAATGATACCAAAAGAATGCTTAGTATTTTCTAAGGACAGTAGTCTCTTTGACTCAAAGGAGAAACAACTGGACCACTACACTGGGAACTGTGCAGGGTCATAATGTAGCCTTGCAGAATTAGTTACCTCTCACCCAAGAGAGGACACTTTTTTTCTTTAATGAGAAAATACAATCTCATATTCCTTATTCTCAAACATAACAGGATGAAGCAAGTAACTTTTGAAACCAAACTAAATTTTCATGACAATTTTGAAATACCATAATTAAGGCAAGGAGCATCTATGTACTTCAAAAGGTAAAAACAGCATTTCAGATAGAAAACTAACACTCTTGCTAACCAGCACATGAATAAATATTTTCTACGGTATTTTACCTTGCATGATGATAGCTAGCTGCTCTGCTGCAGACTTTCTCAAAACTAAGTCAACCGTGTCAGAAGTAAGAATAGCATATAGTTTTTCAACAGTTTCAGCCTAAAAATAAAACTACATTTAGAATTACATAAAGCACATTATTGGTAAACATTGTTCCCCAGTTACTACCTCAGAGAATGGAAATAACAAAAACTATAAATACTTTCACTAAAATTATTTTTAAAAATCTTTATATTCAGCACATGTTTATTCAGAAGCAATTATGATATGCATTTACCATATCCCTGAAGTAATTTTTGAGGAACAGGATAAGTTAATGACTTTTAGCATATAACTGGATATAAAATGTTAAAACATACCTTGCTGATATTTTTAAAGTATACAGGGTTAAAAAAAAGCATACATTTATATTCAGATTTGTATTTCTTATGCAAAATTAAGATTTTGCTGCACAAGGGTATAATATTACAACACAGGTATATTAGTTAAATTAGTAGATGATTCACATTTCAGCACAATACAATTTCAGCTAAATACAAAACAATTCCTCTATAGTGGTATCTGGTTAGGTCAGTTATTTAACTCCCAGACATACCAATATATTTTGAACCTTAAGGACCTGGAGTGGCTTATGTTTCTTTTTTCTTTTTTGAAAAATCTGAGGTTAACTGAGTGGCTAGAATTTTTTTGCTCCCTTAGCATTTATTTTTAATGGTTACTCTTAACTTCCCTTTGTTCCTTTTCTATAAGGCAACTAACTGCCAACCTACTAGAGACCACCAGCTCCAAGTCCTGGACCTTTTCATATTACAATTATATGATTGTCTCTGAAAAAAGAAAGTGTCAAAAAAGAGGAGAGTCTTCTAGTAGTCATCCCACAATTTGATTAATGAGACTCCTGTACGGAAGTAATGAAGGTAGCTGGGACATTAGTCAAACTATATTTCCTGTAAGATTTTGTATACAAGGCGATTAAATTGCATTCAAGTATGGGCCTTTCAGAAGGTACCTGTGATGCCCAATTGTATCTTTTGCAACAGACACTGAAATTATTTAAGTGCCTATGATTCAATCTCTGCTTACTCCTCTGCTCACCTGGCCTCCCAACTCCCACTCTTACCAGGCAATCTCCCTCATTCTCCCCCACCACGTGGTCTCCCCCACACTCCCCTCTTCATAACACGTGATCTCCCCTGCTCACTTCAGATTAAACTAAATATGGTAATAAATTATGGTAGGAGGTAACATTTTCACTAAAGGGTTACAAAACTCTTTCCAGGATAGTGCTGTTTCAGCTGCTCTTATCTTTATATAATTTTCATTTTATGAGCTACATTTCTTTTTAAAAACTCAGCAACAGCAACTGACTTGTTTGAGGAAAAGGAGGTCAATATTTTTCCTGCAAAAATTCCAAAAAGATAGCCTATTAATTTCCCAGCAATTCTGATTCCAAGTGGCCAGAGGAAGAATTTTGATAACAGACTGGGAAAATTGCCTTTTGGTGTTCCTGCAAAAGACTGATTTTAGCAGAGTGATGACTACTTGAAAATCATGCATGACAGAATTTTAAGAGCGTGTTAAACTTCTGTCATGTGGAGCTAACTTATTTCATTTTTACAGAAAATTTCGCAAAACTAGTCGACTGAGCCCTTGTCTCCCGAACGGCTGCATTCCGTAACACGTTCTTAAGATTTGAGGTGGGAAGAACTCACTGACAGATCTTTTTTCAGTGGTGAAAATCAATTCATTTGGAAACTACTGCAGCCTTCAGTCAACAGAAGAACTAATCGACTCTTTGCATGATGTTAAACCACCTGCAAAAGAGTTCTGAAATATGACAGAATCGTAGACAGATTTTGTTCACCTTAAAAACAGACTCTTTTGTGTCATCCAGCTTCAGCTCAATAGGTCTTTCCACAACAAACAAGTTAGGAATACTGGAGAAAACACTGCCATGTAAAAGAGGGCGCTTCAGGCTGGCCCCTTCTTCATTCATGAGATGGAATGTTAGATGTTTAAGTGCCATGGAACGCACTCTACAAAACAAAGCATTAAATAACAGGATATTTCAGCTTTTTAGCTAAGCATACAAAGAGGTAAAAACCTTAAAAAGGGGGAAAAAGGAGATGCAAATACCAAACTCAATTATATTAATCATTTGCCTAAACATTTTAAATGAACCCTTATTCTAAAACAAAGTTAGTCTTAACACTCCAGGTTAGACTTGCACACGTGCGTTGAATCCCATGCTGAAATTGTTGCAGAACATTACTCACAACTGCTTTTTTGAGAAAAGAAGTCGGAGAGCAGCTCTTAGTCTAGTAGTTCTAGGGAGAATCCCTTCTCCTTTGTCAGAAGTTGTTTCACTCAGGGCAAGGATGCTCTTACCCAGTGTATCTTCAGTGTCTGCATAACCCTACAAAAATGTCAAAGATCTATTCAGTTAGCCTATCTAATTAAGAAACAAGCATGCCTAATTTTAGCAACAAACAAAAAATGGAAATTATTTTCTAAGTACCAAATACTTCACATAAAAATAGCACTGGATGAGCTCATAAGCAAGCAATTCATAAGATTAGGTTAGGCATACTTAAAGGCAAGCAGTGTAATATCCTCATGCTTTCTAACAGATATAGCTTTAGAAAAATGCTATCTTTCCTGTATCTTTCTTGAAAAGTAAAATTTCCAGCCAGTATTCAAAAAATAGACAAACTTCACTTATATAAATGGGGCCAAAAGGTAACTATTACTTTTGTTCGTTTCATTTTGGTAGAATAAGATCTTCTGCAGAAACAAAGAAACATATTTTAGGTACCCGTTCCTTAAATCAAAAGCATTACATTTTTTACAGAGTCCTGCCACATCTCATTGTAAACTTTAGCCTTTAATCTACAGACATAATGCTTCTCAGGATCTGCTCTCTGCCTTCAGAATTAGTTTTCTGTATTATAAACACAAATCAATAGTTGAGACAAACTGAAATAAAAAATCCTAGCCGTTATTTTGCAGGATGTATTCAGAGCATAGACAGAAATCCCCATCTCTATGAGCAAAACTAAGTCTAGCTTTAGTGTTCTGCATTCTCTTTTTCCCCATAAATAATCTATATCATAAATTTACATAGTATCACACAAACATCAAACTTATTTTTACTGAAGACAGTATGAGGGCCGAATATTTTCAGTGAGCTTTGCGCAAGGCTAGAAATAGACGTAGCTGAATGAATCACATAACCTGCACTGCAAGGTGTCAAGGCAGGGCTGAGCCACTTCGCTGGGCAAAATGCATACTGCCCCTTGTCCTGCACCACCAAGTGTGGTACAAGGGGCAATGTGATCTCCCCGCTTTCCGTGCTCTGCCAGATCTGCCCCAGCGATCACCAGGAATGGGTATAACTAAATGGGGAAAGACTTTTTCCTGCCCAGCCAGACTCGAGGCACAGATCTAGCTGAGCAGGGAACCCCAACTTCCCCACTTATGGAGAGGTAGCTCAAGACACCCCAGAGTGCTTCTCCATAAGCAGAGCAAGTGGGGAAGTGTTCTCAGGGCTTGAGTGCCCCTCAAGCTTGCAGAGCACCTGTCCAGCGTGGCAGGAGAGGCAAGCAGCTCAGAATGCTAGCACTCTTCCCTCACAGAAGCAATACATGTCCATGACAATAAAGCAGCAGGACAATAAAGCGGCAGCAGCAGAGTTTATTACCAACTTTTGTTGCACCACTGATTTCCTTTTATGTGGCTCAACAAAGGGTATTGATGTCTATTTGCTCAGCATTTGTGCCTCCATAAACATTTTTATGGCACAAATGAGACATCAGATGACATCTGTTTTCACCTCAAGTGCCTGTCCTTACAGAACTTGTTACTCACTGAAAGAATCAAGATCTAAGATGGGAAAAAACAGATTGCATGAAGAATTCATTTTTCAAGATGTTTTTTATGGATAAGTTTGAGGAAAATAAAAAAAGGAGAAGTAACAAAGATTGTGCTTCCCAGTACTAGCTGAGGAAAGACTACTTAAGGGGTACGGCAAAACATGGAGTCTTAGGATATAATATGAAGCATAAGATCAGAGGGTTAGAGAGATAGTACAATGAAAATCTTTGTCACGGAACGGATATAAAGGATTTAGGTAGAACAACTAGGATAAGAGTGGTGGGGGGAAGAGAAGAATGAGATTTCTTGCTAAACTACAGATGGGGCAAAGGGATCTGGCCAAGTCTCAGGATATGTCTACCTGGTGCCAGACCTGAGGTACTCTGAGCACCAGAATCAGTATAACTTCATTACCAAGTTAAACTGGTCTGAACAGAGCACATTGCTATACTACTTCTGGGAACTCAACTAATGTTGACACCTATACAAGGGACTGTACCTGCACTGTGTAGACATATTCTTAGACACATGAAGGCAGCCTGAAGAATTCAAGAGAATCCTGAAGATTAACATATTACACTTTGACTCTGGGGGTGGGGGGGAGGAGGGTGCCACAAAAAAAAAGGGGGCTGCCCATCATGATGCCCTAATAAACGTAATAGTCCTCCCCAGGTTATGATTTTCAAATCTTACAGGGGGGCTTGGCCCCCACAAGATTCCCTGTAATTCAAACCCTGACAATAGGTAATAAAAGTCTTGCTTTAGTATTTCTATACACTGAAAATATGTAATTCGATTCTATATACTGAAAATGTATAATTTTTTAAATTATTTTCCATGTATAGAATCTAATTATTGGAGGGTTTTCTTTAATTCTTCCCTCCCATCACTGCAGGCGGGCAGGCAAATGGGGAGGTAGACAGCATGAGGAGGTCAAGCTGCTTGCCTCCTGCCTGCCACTCCCCAGCCTCTGCTTCATGCCAGAAGGCTCTGTCCTTATTCTAGCCTGGGCGCTAAGCACAGCCCCAGCCCAGTCCCCATAGCAGTAGCAGCTGTGTGGGTTGTGCACTGCTACTTTGGGGCCAGGCTGGGGCCATGTTCAGTGCCCTAGGCTTCAGTGTGTACATAGCCTGCTGTGGAACAAGTGTAAGTAGGAGGGGGAGAGTGGCAGGCAAGGGAGCAGAGGCTGCAGGGAGGGCAGGGGCAGGGGGGACATGATGGGGAGAAAGAAGCTTCAGGGGGAGATGGCAGGGTGCTGGGCAGGGCTGGGG